TTTTTTTCTGTTGTTATTGTTGCTATAAAATGCCTGAATTGTAGGAAAGAACTGTGATAGTTGTAGGGTTGTTTTCAATCATTTTTTCATTATGTGCACAATCGGTATGCTGGGATAATTAATCACTTGAGATTTGAGGGCTGCAGTTTCCTAGGTATTAAATTCTAGTTACGTACAGACAAACTTCAGTTCTGTAGAAGGGAAAATGGTCTTTCATTTCACATAAAAATGCCTTGGGAGATCAAAGACAGTCCTAATGACATGAAGTGAAGGGGAAAAATAGATACTGTTTTTTTCTTGCTTTGTCATACCATGTTTTAAAGGCACATTTTGAGACTAGTTATGTTTTATAGACAGAAATAGGAAAAGACATAAAAATTGTATGTTTAGTGTTTTTTTACATAATTGCACATTTATGTTTGAAATGTGGGACTGAGACTGTGTGTAGCTCAGTGGTCTGGCAACTTCTCTAGTTTGTGAGCTGTCCCAGGGTGGATTCCTGGGACTACAAAACAGAAACCAAATGAAATTTAGATCTTATAACCCATGTGTGTATTGGAACTAAGAGTAGATGTTATATTTTCTTTTTAATTTTTAAAATTTTTAAATTTTACATGTATGCGTGTATTGCCTGCATGTAGGTAAGTGCACCTGTGTCGTGAAATGCCCATGGAGGTCAGAAGAAGCTGTCAGATACCCTGGGACTGGAGTTATGGACAGTGGTTAGCTGCCATGTGGGTGCTAAGATTTGAACCTGGGTCTTCTGCAAGAATAACTAGTGTTCTTAACCACTGAGCCATCTCTCCAGCCTCAGATGTTATATTTTCAAAGGAGTTTTAAACACAACTCCAGCCAGGGAAGTATATGTAACCGCAACCTATGGGGCCCACAAAAACACAATCATTGACTATTTGGCCCCTTACAGAAAGAATTTTATAATATAGACTCGTCACTGGGTTCTCTCTGGACTAACTCTCTGCTCCCTTATCCTTGGGATCTTTGTTGAAAGAAATCAGATAAACAAAGTACAGTGTAGAAAACAGGTGAATTTTACCATAGGGGAAGATGGAGTACTCTCAGTGGATGGCAGTCCACTGTGCTGATTCTCATTTTAAGTAGACTTTAAACTATCCCCTATAGGTCTGGCTGCTTGACTCACAAGCCAAGTAAGTTGAGAGACAAGTATTGAAGCAACAAAAATGACTCAAAAAGGAGAAAGGAACTTTTCTTTACCAAAGTCCTTGGGAGAGAGGGGCAGTGTTCAGGATCCTTAGGGTTAGTGTGTAGTCTTGCTTACCTAGGGCTCAGGTTTGTCTTCTTCAAAATTTTACCAAAGGGCTTCCTCCTGTGCCCAGCTCCTGATTTGCACTTTCTTTTCAAACACATTAATCTCGTTCAAATAAATTTATATGCTTTGTGCTAGTTGATGACAGGATATATGCCCTTTAACCATAGAACTAAAGAAAGGAGTGGCCATCGCAGAGGTCACCAGATGGTCTGGATTCTAAAGAAAGATCATTTAGCAGTTAGGATCCTTATTATTTATGTAAGGCTTATCTTTCAAATTTAGAATGCTAAGCAAAAGAGAATTGGTGTCTTAATGAATTAAGATAAGGCAGAAGAGGTGTGTGTGTGTGTACAGTTTCTTTTTATATCCCGATCATAATGTGAATAAATCTGCATTACAGAATAGCATTATAATCTTCCAGACAGTCTCCATTTATCAATGTTTCCTTTAGGCAAGTTAGCAGGTTTTTAGGCTATGTGCTAGCTGTCAGGAAATTTAGGATTTAAGTGAAGGAAGTAGAGGTTGAAAAGAAAAGATTTCACAACCTATTAAGCAAAATAGTCAGTTACATAAAAGAGCTTTATAAAGGGTTCTAAAAGGATATGGAAGGGAATCACAGAGGGCTTTTCAGGATACTTGATTTAAAGTGGAAGACTGCATTCACTAGAAGGAGGGGAACAGGGCTCAGTAACCGAGGACAGTGATAACTTGGGAGGAATGCTAAGGATTTTTCTGCTTCTTCTGCTGTAGTTTAGGGATATGGAAACACTTTGAGATTTGACGGGTTAACACAGTTGTACCAGGTTTTGCCCTGAAGCTGGGTCCTTTGTCCCTTTCAGAACTGTGTAACCCATAACAAAACCAAGTACCAATTGAAAAGTATGTGTGTGTGGGGGGGGTGTTTTTATTTTTGGCCAAGATAGAAATGGGAGATAGAGTTACAAATTTATTTCAACCTCTGGGGTTGAAAAAGTTTTAGTTAAGTAATAAAAAATAAGTGAGAGGAGGATATAGACTGACAAAGGCCCGTGTCTTCCATGGGGGAAGGTAGATGTTCTCAAGGAACTGTGGTGTCAACTCTTTTCTCTCCTTTTATGCTATTTCTAGTTATTGCCATGACAACTGTCAACTGTCATGGGACTAGAGGGTGGGTAATTTATCATAAGGATGGGGGGATGGTGAAGTTAAAGGTGTCCAGCAGTTACTCTGACAGCCTTAGATCCAACCAGTTTCAGCTAATCCACTTGAAAAGAAAATTCTGGCTTACCTACAGTCTGTTCTCAATGATAGATAAGATTAGGGTAGAACAGAAATTCAGCTAGCTCACTGTGTTAGTTACTTTTCTATTGCCGTGGTAGAACATCCTGGCCAAGGCCATGGCCTTCCTTATAGATGGAAGAGTTTATTTAGCTTATGTCTAGAGTTGGATGAGAATCCAACATGGTAGAAGAGGCGCAGCAAGAGGCAGCCAAAGCAGAAAGCTGGCAACTCCCATCTCCAAGCACTCACAGGAAGCTCAGACAGACTCAAGTGGGACAAGGTTATGAACTCTCAAAGTCCACCCCTAGTGGTGTGCTTCCTCCAGCAAGACTTTATCTCCCGAACGTCCACAAACAGCACCACCAACAGGGGGCAGTGTTCGAATTCTAGGAGCTCGTGGGGGACATTTCTCATTCAAATCACCACACTCACCTGGGCAGCACTCAGCTATCAGTCAAAAACCAGTTAAAGACAGTATCCTTGATCTCACCTCTGGCTGCTTTTATCAGATGGTAACCAATAACACAGGCTGTCAGCCATTCTCTTCTTCCAAGATGATTCTAAGCCACATGGGAGATTGAGAACCTGGACTTGGGCCCCCAGGGTTTGCTGCAGGTGTCTTCTCCTTGTGTCAGAGGCACAGGTCAGAGTCCAGAGGCCACCTGCTGAGATTTGCAGGTTCTCGGGTCCTGGATCAAAGGACTGGACCAGGGACACATGGATAGTCATAGAAATAATTTTATTAAGAGAAAGAGGGTGAGATGGCTCAGTGGTTAAGAGCACTAACTGCTTTTGCAGAGGACTCAGGTTCAGTTTCTAGCACCCATATGGTGGCTAACAATAGTCCATAACTCCAAATCTGGGGGATCTGATGCCCTCTTCTTACCTCTGCAGGCATTGTGTGACATGGGTGCACTTCCATACGTAGGCAAAATACTCATACACATAAAGTAAAAACAAATAAATAAAATTTTTAAAAAGGAGAAGAGGAAAGCACTCAGGGAAATGAGAGCATACTAGAGAGCTAGGGAAGGTCCTACCTCCAAAGGCCCTGGATTATGAGAGTCTGCATTGTTTATAGATCATTTACATAGTACTTACCTTCTCTAGCATCTGGAAATGATAGAGATGATCAGGCTTTTTCTGTGTATACTGTCTACTTACATGTAGCTCATGGTTGGTGGAGTTTCTAGTTGTTATCTGCCATTTATTTCATTAGTTGTTAATCTCTTTGTTAATATTATATTTTAAATTTATTCTTTGAGAGTTTCATGCATTCATACAATGCACTTCAATCATATTTACCTCCACCCCCTCCAACACCTTCCAGGTAGTCCCATCACACCCCCTTCCGAGTTTCTGTCCTCTTTTCTTTGACCAGCCCACTGTAGTGCTATTTAAATAGTGCTGTCCATATAGGCATGGGTGTGGGACCATCTACTGGAGCACGGTCAATCTATCAGGGGCTCCACCCCTAAGGAAAATGGACTCTTGCCTCTTCCAGCAACCATCTATTGCCAATAGCACCTCAGCTAGGAGTAGGGCCTTACGCATCCACTCCCATTTTTGTTGGAATGTTGACTGGCTTGATCTTGTACAAGACTTGTGCTGCTGTGAGTTCATGACTGCACTGGTTTTGTCATGTCTAGATGGTACAGTTTTGCCCTGGTCCTCCCCAACCTCTTACTGCCTTCCTGCCCCATGTTCCTCAAGGTTTCCTGAGCCTTGTGGGACCTGGATGTAATATAGATGTTCACTATGTGGCTGAGGATGGCACAGATACTTGTTCTCTGCACTGTGTCCTTTGACTGTCATGATGCCTCTGAACCTCCTCCCCTGCTGTGTTCTTCTATCTTGGGAGCATGTCTCTAGCCTCTTTTAGGGAAACAATAAAATTATTAATTTAGACTTTCCATAGAGCTGGTTTTGAAGAGTAACTAAACATTTTGAGTTTCTGTCTCTTTCCTCTCAGAGTGGCATTTTTTTCGTGGCCAACTCTCTTTCCTTTTTGGGGGGAGGGCAGGGCTTGGTACCTTTGCCTACTGTCTCATTCCCTGCCTTTCCCTCCCTAGAGCTGGGTCTGAGAGTGTGAATGTCAGTCACTGACATTTCTAGGTCCCAAAGGTGGAAGCTGGGGCTACTTACTGCTTGTTTAAAGAACGAATTAATTAAATCCCCAAAGGGAGGATGTCTCCTTCAGATGAAGGATGCAAAGCTGGTAAGTGACACCGTTCTTTGGTGGCAGGACATACTTGGGAGCATGGGAGAGCAAACCTGCAGCCCCTTGCACTGTGGTCTGGCCTCACACTGCAGTTTCCCCATTAGGCTCCTTTCGGCAAGCCAGTAGCCTTGGAGACTGTTGCTCACTGGCAATGTTTACCCTCTTCTCTCTGGAGAGTTCTGAGCCAGGTGATCCGCCCGCCTCTTTCTAATGACTGTGTTTCATACGCAGGGCGAACTCTGTTGGAGAAGCTGTTCAGCCAGCAGGAAAACGGGCCTCCAGAAGAAGCAGAAAAATTTTGCTCACGGATCATTGCCATGGGTCTTCTACTTCCTTTTAGTGACTGCTTCAGGGAACCGTGTAATCAGAACGCTGGGTCAAGTTCAGCCCCGTTTGATGTAAGTAGGAGAATCCACTTCTGTCTGTGGGAAGACTGCAGTTGGAGTTCCAACTGTGATGTGTCTCTGCCCAGTCACCCTATAACTTAAAAACAACATGTGATGCAAGCCTTCCTCCCCTGGGCTCAGTTTGTCTATTTCTATACTTTTCTTTAGAAGAAGGCATTGCATATAGTTGGCAAACCTTTTTCTTAACAGATAGTCACTCAGTAGTTTTCTCGTCTGCACTAATCAAGGGTTAAGATGACTCTTTAATTTTTTGGCTTATTTGTGGAGACTGAACACAAGAATAAACAAAGCACTCTCCCACTGAGCTCCATGCCCACCCATCAGTATTACTCTGCTGGTCACAGACATTCCTTCAGAAGCAGCACCAAAGGGCAAAATACTGGTCCCAGTGGGTCACAGGTTTCCATGGGCACTGAATGCTATGTGAGTGTTTTCCCAACTCATTTGTGCAGTAAATATTGACAAGCAGAGGCATTGTCTGCCCCTGCTCAGGCCCTCATTCAACAGGAGTTAATAGTGTTGTACTTAAAAGCCATGTTTGCAATTCATCATGAATATCAGCACTCCTGGATTATCCTTTTCAAGCTGGAGCATTGCTGATCTTGCTCAGGTATGTGGTGCATGTGTGGCCTGAGTTCCGAGCGGTGCACATCTAAAACTCAGATAGGTAAGGATTCTCATGTGTGAACCTCTCATAAGAGAATTGAAGTTCTGGTTGGCTCCCTTGTGCAGAAACCAGGATTTGAGTGCTTGAGGACAGTGGATTCTCATCCATACGGTAACTACATTTGCTTCATTGCTGCTAAATGCATGTCTTAGCCTGCTTCAACACATATGCTGTGGTTTGGGGGGTGAAAAAAGGAAGCTTTAAAAGATAGTGAAAATGAACAGTGGCAGAGATCAAAAGGTGGTCAGAGGGCCCAGTATGGTGGCTTATGCCTGTAAATCCCAGTGCTTGGGAGGCTGATTCAGGAGGATCAAGAGTTTCATGTCAGCCTGGGCTACATAGCAACTTCTGGGCTTCTCTGGGCTACAGTGAGACCTTGTTCTCTAAACCAAAAGGTATGAAAAGGTGATAGAAAATAATGACGTGCTTCTATTTGCTGATTTTTTTAGTCCCCTTGTTTACCCATCCTAAACTGTGATCTTTAGCTTCTTTTAGTATTAGCAAAATAAATCTCATAAAATATTCTGAGATCTTGTTTTGTCCCATCTGAGAGAAAAAATTCTAGGTGATTTTGTGAATTTAGTAGTTTCTTTAAGATATTTTTTTCTTTATATAATTAAAAAATGATGTGGCAGCTAATCTGTTAGGTAGAGCTTTTCCTCCTATGGAAAGACTTAGATAATTTCTAATCACTCTCCCTTTTTCTGTGATAGATCTGTGTTATTATGTAAACAGAACCCGAGGACGATGGTGTGTTGTGTGTAGAACTACGTTCTATAGCTATTTGGCAAGTTGAAAATCTGGCAAACACATTTCGGATAAAGGGAAACACTAGCTGTGGCTATGTTGTACACTGTGTTCTAAACACAACAGCCATGAGCATCTTCACCAGAGCAGCAGTGGCTTCCTGCAAGCTCTTAAGATCTGGCCTGTTGACATGTGGGTGGCGTGGGTTATTTTAATCTCTCCCAGCTGGATGTTATTCTGCCCTAGCTGCATGTGGTCTTGTGATCTGGGGAGGTGCTAGAGGATATAGTATGAAGACTAACTAAAGGGTGATTCCATCTCTGCAGCTCTGGGGAACTTGTCATCCATGCTGGAGGAGACTTTCTAGTGCTATGGCTATTTTGGGGGGTTGGTACATACTTCTGTAAGCAACCTCTCACCCTTGTTCTATAAATAGACACAATGAATAATCATAATAAACTCATTGATGTGTTAAGTTGGAGTTTGGTAGAATGGTTACTTTGGTCTGTGGTTATCACCCCACCTGGGGTGAGCAGACATGTGAGTTTGTCACATCTCCCTAGGAAAAGTTCCCACACAGTCAAGCACTTGCTTTTTGATTAAAAGTATTATCAAATTAACTTCATTTCTGTCTTTAGAGGTCAAAACTAAATAGATTTGTCACTCAATAAATATGGAATTGGAATAGACTAAGAAGAACAGAAATGCCCTAATTCTCTACTTTAACATTTTTATTACTTATTTATTTTTGTCAGGTTTCGGATGAGCTCCGGGTTTCAAGTGTGCTGGGAATGGGCTCTGCTACTGAGCTACACCTCAAGCCTTTGTCCTTCTCTTTTTAAATTAACCTGTTTACTTCTCACATTTAACCTTACTCCGTCCTTGTGTTAGAGAGAATATTAACTCTTTTTTAGTCATGTTATTTCGGAGAGAAAATAAGCATGACATAATGAGTGGAAAATAAACACATAACATATAAAGTGTTTTAATTTCTGAAAATGGAGAATTTTGTTTCCCAACTTGATGTGATTACTTTTACTCCTTGAAGTATTCCTTGGCTACATACCATGACCCTAGTCCACACATCAGCTGAACACAAAACAAAAGGAAATGAAAGGCACATTCCTCTGAGACATTGCTCCATAGTCTAAGCAACAGGCTGGAGCTGGAGTTACAGGTGGTTGTGAGCTGCTCCATGTGGGTGCTGGGAACAGAACTTGGATCCCCTAATAGAGCAGTGAGCACTTTTAACTGCTGTGTCATCTGTCCAACCCCTGCTTTTATTTCTTCATTGATATCTGAATGTAATATTTCTTAAATTTGCCTTCTGTCTTTGCTGTTTATCTGATCTGGTTAATGATGAGGCTTTCCTCTTTTTTTGTAAATTTACTTGGGTTTTGGGTTTTTAACTGCCCAAATTCAATTTTTTAAATCAGTTTCCTTCCTGCATTTCTCATCAGTGTTGCTGATTTTCATTTCTATGTTGCTGACTTTCTTATCCATGTTCCAAATTGATCTTCTTATACACCAAATTAATGAGTAAAGGGACTAGAGAAAAGAGTAAAAGAAGGAATGTTAAGTCAAAGGAAAAAGAAATACAGTGTTCTGAAGAGCCATAGAGAAGAGGAAGATATTAGAAAAACCACACTAATGAAAAAGCTTGTAATTATCAGATAAATTTAAGAATAAGAATAGACAAACAAATGCTTTAAAAGAATAAAGACAAAAATATTTTTAATGTAGCAAAAAGCAAACAGAAACACAAAGGGCAGAAAAAAGAATCAAGTATTGGAATGCCTTCTTTCTGGTCCTCTGAAACTGTAGCCTGTCACGTGTAAGGGGTGCCACTTGAAGTAGAGACTTTGTCTCTCTTCTTCTTTAGGCTCTGAAGCTAGACCACTCAAGTGTCAGATACCAGATACCACCTGAGCTCTGTTTCTCTTTAGGAACTTCCTTGGCACAGGAGTAGCCTTTGCTGGCCATGCCCACACTTTATTTGTAGCCTGTGAGCAAGGCAGACACTGCCATCTTCCTAAAACTCCCCAGTTTGTTCACTCTCGTATGGCTTGTGGAGGCATCTCTGGAGTACACGGAATGCAGAGATCTGCATAGCAGGACCAGTCTGCATGATTTCAAAACCCACTCAGTATTAAACACCCTGTTTGAAGGTTGAGACTATGGACATCAAATTTTTTGCTGGAGCTTCAGAATTCTTCTCATTGACTTGAAGATGATGGAAGATAGTCGACTTCAGAGATTGTCTCACCACTGTCTTTGTGCTGAGTGCAGTTAAGTTCAACAGCTAGTCCCAGATGACCAGTTCAGCTTCTAGCCTGGGAGATCAGGGCTACTGATCCTCTGTCCTTCACTGCTGGGGCCCAATCCTTCTGGCATTTGAACTTCTTCATCTCTTTGTAGCTATCTCTCACTCTGGGCCTGTGGCAGTTTGACCTCCACTTTTCTGACTTGTAATCCCTTCTGGTTTAGCAGGCTTCCAGTTTAGCTCAAAGTTAAACAACAGTTTCTCTCTCAAAGTTTTGTCTGGCTGCAGTCTTTTCCTTCTATGACATGGCCTGAAGGTGGAGCACATCCTTTCTCTGTTACTCGTGCTGACTGCAATTTTTCTCTTGGAAACTGAGGGCCTTGCTCCACTGGACAGCCCCTTGCCATACAATACAAGAAGGGAAGTTTCGTGGAGCATTTGAAAACACCAGCAATGTGGCTTCATATACAGTTATCCACTAGCCATGTGGGCAGGGTCCCAGTGGTACATCAGCAGAAGGCAGCTACAGCCTCCTGTACTGTACTATGTGGCCTCCTCTTTCTTCTTTAGGTTCCATGATTGTTGTGGTTTGAATTTGAAATGCCCCCCGTGGGCGACGGTGTTCAAACACTTGGTAAGGTCAGTCCAAGAACAACAGCAACAAAGAGCATTGCTTGTGGGTACAGCAAAGGCCTTTACCACTTGAGTTCTGTGTACTTGGGAAATGCTGTCCCCACCATGAGGTCATTGATGCTTAGAAAAATTTGGCATAAAAATAGAAGGGGGACTCTATGAACAGAGAAAGGAGTATAAAGGGAGGGGAAAGGTGATGAGAGAGAGTAACGTGGGAAAAGAAAGACATCACATTCTCTATCATGTAGAATATGTAAATGTGTCTGAAAGTATATGAGACAGAAAAGCAGAAGGGGGCTATTTGTGGGGAGAATGAGCACCAACAAGAGTGGGTAAGCAGACCAAGGGAGGGTGACAGGTGTGAACGAGTGAAGTACAGTGACCTATGGCAATATCATGCTGAAACTTATTATTCTGTTTAAATTTATTATTATGCTTTTAAATCAGAAATTTTTTGCTGGGCGTGGTGGCATATTCCTTTAATTCCAGCCCTCCGGAGTCAGAGGTAGGTGAATGTCTGTGAGATCAAGGACAGCATGGTCTACATACTGAGTTCCAGGTGGGCTGGGACTAGGGAGACCCTGTCCAAAACAAAAAGAAAGAGAAATGAGAAAGAAAGAAAGAAAGAAAGAAAGAAAGAAAGAAAGAAAGATAGAAAGAAAGAAAGAAAGATAGAAAGAA